GAGTATTGACACCTCACACTGTTGTGAATGAGCACGGACGCGAGATTTACTAGAGTATTAAATGCAAAACGCAAATTCAAAATAAAACTTGACAAGTCATCGTCAATCCTCTTATTCTTGGGCAGGGTCTGACGATGTGAATCTGATTTTGATCAGTGAACGGGCCCCATATGGTACATTTTCTCACTATGAACATGTCATTTCCAGCCTATCTGAACTATTTAATAAATGGAAACCATAACATGGGTTACGCTTCCCCTAAGCGGGCCCTCCGCATCCTATCTCTGTCTTATCTCAAATGCCAATGGTTGAATGTATCAATATATACATTGGAAATGACGTTCAATCAAATAAACCCATACCCCACTCACTTGGCCAGGCTTCAGAATCGTCCAGTGGGCAGTGCGCTCTACACTCCAAGTTCCCTTTCTTTCAAATTCACCCCAAATTTGATATTTTACCCCTTTGAGTGTTGATTAATCACAATGAAACATTGTGACAGAGCACGGACTTGAGGTTACTAGAGTATTAAATAATCTAGGTCCTATTTAGGATTATATCTGAAAAATCCAAATTTGGCCAACGCCCACCCTTTAAAACAAGAGCGTTTTATGAACTGAAAAACACACTGTTGTTGATATTGTTGTGGTCAACACATAGACGTCAAAAGCTTTCAAAAATGTCCACATGGAGCGCTGTAATAAGCAAAAGAGTTTGTTCAATTACTACGTGGGCCGTTTAGGCTCGTAACTGATATGCTTAACTGATTTAGACTTACTAAACGGCAGATAGTTTTTCAGTCGTGGTCATGAAGTTTTTTTAACTCCAGTCCTTTAGAGTTAGACACATCATGGAACAAGCTTCTGCGTATTAATATGCGATCGTCCTCTTTGATTTCCGACATTCGGATTCTGGCGTTGAAATAACCCATGATGATTATGTTCCCTTTCATGCTTTCCGCGAGGCTCAGGATTTACGTTAATATTTTCCTCAATTCTGAGCAACCACTATCGCTTCCGATTCTGCCGTACGAAGAAATCGACAGTGAGCATGCATAAGGGCCTATACGCGATGATCGATTCTCTTCGTCGATTTTCTCTTTCGTTAATAATTCGCTAGATTGATCGTTTATCGGGGCGTTTGCTGTTGATTTTAATAGCCAATACAACCTGTTACTACTCTGCATTGAACAAATTCTAGAAAATTGTTTCGCTTAGCTGTAGCAATGCAAAGAGAAAATCGATGAAGAGAATCGATCGTCGCGTTCGTGCTACGTTTTTATCAAATACATTCAATAGATATACGCACGATTCCGAACTGATCTTTCTGAAACGATTGCTCTTACACCAGTGTTTGGCTATTAAGTGAGCCGTTCCTCCTCCAATGCGATCACGACCGTTGTGTTCTGTACGTTGAACCAGAAATAATTACTTATTTCGATAGTACACTCGACCAATCGTGTTTCCTTTAGAGCAGTAATGATGCAACTACATTGGCCGAAATATTTTTCAATATCCTTCCGTTTATGTTCCTCCGAGCAGCCACGAACGTTCCAAGTAAGCATTGAAAAGTTGGCATAGTGCATTTCGTTGTTAGATAAACCACTGCATTTAGGATTCGCGCTCAATTGCGAGCAATTAAGTAAACCGTTCCTTTGTAGCTCCGCAATTCCCGCATAAACGCAAACCATCACTTGACCTTACCGATAATGGTTATAAATTGTTTATAATCCCTCCTAAACTTTAACTGAAATGGTTTTGGAACCTTACATGAACGTTTGTGTGATAAAGTTTTAACCTTATGTATTATGGTTTTTAGGAAGCGGACCTTACAAATAATGGGTCGTTAAGAACCATTACCATTCCAAATTCTTGTTTTCTCCATACATTTTCGGAAAGAGAACTATATTAGAACGTTTTTACTTATGGTTTGAGAACATTAATGATTATGGTTATGGTAGTCAGTAAGGTCCATTAATCGTTTTGTATTATCGCTCAACTTTACGTGAAATATATCGTGAATTGGTAATCAGTAATTTACAGGCAACCAATTCGCGATATATTCCACATAAAGTTTATCGATGTTACAAAACCATTCATGGACCTTACTGGTTACCATAACCATAACCATTAATGTTCTCAAACCATAAGTAAAAACGTTCTAATATAGTTCTCTTTCCGAAAATGTATGGAGAAAACAAGAATTTGAAATGGTAATGGTTCTTAACAACCCATTATTTGTAAGGTCCGCTTCCTAAAAACCATAATACATAAGGTTAAAACTTTATCACACAAACGTTCATGTAAGGTTCCAAAACCATTTCAGTTAAAGTTAAGGAGGGATTATAAACAATTTATAACCATTATCGGTAAGGTCAATTTATGGTTCGCGTTTATGCGGGTTTTCTTCAGAGGCGGTCGCAACGTCCTCCACCATGTCATTCCTAGGATTTCGAACTCCTCTGTTGAACAATATCTTCTGAACCACACTGTCGTAGTGGTTGCATTTATGCATTTCTGGAGCTTCTTGCTGTCAAGTGATATGCTGCTCTTAACACAATATCCTGCGAATCCTTCGAAGAAATGCTTCAATTTTATCCGCTACCAATGAACCACCAAGAAGCGTCCTCTTCTCTATGGTATCAGCGACACATGGAAATTATAAAAAAAAAATATTTCTTATGTGGTCCACCACTCTTTGTCGAAGGATCATTACGTTTTCATAATGATCTGCTGACCCTACTTCCGAATTGTCGTATTCATAAACCAATGCCGAAAACAGGCATTCTTCTCACCATTACTGATCCCTCGTCGTAGAATGTGTTCCCTTCTAGACACTATTAAATTCTTATCTCAGTTGCTCGACTTTATTGCTAACTCTAGCCTTGCGTTTACTTTGTGGTTTCTTTTCAATGTTGACAGTGTTGTGTTACTCTTCGCCATATTGAGCAGTGCACGGGCCTTAACCTCACTTTTTGGTCTTTTTGGTTCCAATCATTTTGTCTCTGAGTAAAAGAGATGGCAACGAATGGGAACCAAAACAAACCACCCAAAACTGTCCAAATTTACGGGTGAGAGAAGAGAGCAGCAAATCTTCGTGCACACAGAAAAACAAAACTACCCACCGCTTGGGTTTTTTAAACTCAAATTTGAGTTATTTGACCTCTGCCCGTTTCATTTCCTCTCGCTATTGTTGTCAAAAATAGAACGAAAGATTCGACTCAACCGTCTAGTTCCGTACGAGAAGCCAAAATTGAGTAATATGCAATATACCCAAATTTGAGTTAATTGAACTTAATTTTGGGTAGAAAAAATTGAAAATAACTTAGCGATAGGTAATTTTATTTGCCGGGCTTAAATGCAAACTACTTTGAGCCGGTTTACCCAAATTTGGCTTATCGTACGGAACATGGGAGATGAGTGAAAAGAACTTAATTTTGGGTTGTTTTGAATTTCTGTGCACTGATCTATCGACTGGCAGCAAGCGCTGTCAAACAGTATTATGCAGCTGGCTGGCATGCCGCCATGTTATTGAAACTAGAGTCGGTGTATAATGAGTCACGCCAAGAGAAAAACAGTTGAACTCGCATCACGATTTTCGAAAGATTCCCTTTCTTTTAACTTGGCAACAGAGGACTTCTATATCAACTTCAAATGACTTCTAGCGAGAAAAAAAAATAGCGGTTGTAGTAAATCATTATATCAGTGATTCAGTCAAATTATCTCAACCAAAAATAGAAGAAATTCTCATAAGTGATCATTACCAAACGTATCCCATGTCAATTTATTGCTCACTGCGAGTTTATGATCATTTCTTCGATTATATTTTATATTTTATTGCAATACCTTTCGTGGACCTTTCATAGCATCGTAAAGTTTGTTTACTCTGCACGATAGGTAGCCGGTTTGACAGCTCAATAGGTAGACTTGGCTTCACTCTTGGCGTGACTCATTATACACCGACTCTAATTGAAACCAACATCTGAAACGTCACAATTCCAGTGTGAACTGCAAAAATGGCGTGACTGAATTGTCTTATTTTTATCAAATGAAATTATTTTCCCTTTTATGCCATATAAATGGTTGACTTCGTGGAAGAAAATCAGAAAATAATATTTTATGAGTCCTAAGTTTATTTTTCACAAAATGTAAGCAACAATATTAAGAATATCCATAATATCAGTCACGCCTTTTTTGAAATTCTGGCTTGAATCTTCTATTTGTTTACAAATTATGAGCTGTCAGTGGGGCCCGCAATTCGCGGGTCCGCAGCGATGTTAGCTCTTTTCAAGGCACACTCTAACTTGAAAGTACTCATTAATGAGTAAAAAAAGACCCATTTTGAAGAAAAGTGGCTTAACTCATTAATGATTAAACAATTTTACCCATTAATGAGTATCTGTTACCCATTAATGATTAACAATTACTCATTAATGGGTAACAGATACTCATTAATGGGTAAAAAATTTACTCATTTAATGAGTTAAGCCACTTTTCTTCAAAATGGGTCTTTTTCAACCATTTATGGGTACTTTCAAGTTAGCGTGCAAGGCAAACAAGATAGGGATGCCAGGTACCTGGTATTATGCGTATTATGCTTAAAGCTCAACCGTAACTTTTCGATAGTTTGTTTACGTTCACAAATGATTAGAAAAAAGCCAAATGAATAAATTTTTGATGAAAAAAAAAAAGTTTAAAAGTTATTTTGATACATTTGAAAAAAAAAAAACATCTCGTGATTTGAGATAAGCTCGAACATTTCAATATTGATGGTCGTTTCGTCACACCGGGAGGGTAAAAATTTGGTTCGCTTTTGGGGTCCGTTTTCGTATCACCCAGGTTTTTACATCCAGCATTCCAAACTATTTGCGTTCCACTGTGACTGGCTTTCGGAAAATTGAACACACCTTTTGGTGGATTTTTTTTTTGGTGTCCACCCAGCGGTTCGCCACCATGCGCGCAGCCGACCACCACTGGACGAACTTTATTGTTTTCCATCGAACCAATTTACTTTCCGTACTTCCTCTTTCCGTCTAAACCGGATGTCTAAAGAGCAAAAGTGTTGTTAATTTCCTTAGTTGCTTAGTAGTATTTGAATGATTATAATTATATAAGAGGCTGCTGTTTCTTCGCTAAACTGGGTTTGGGAGGGGATGCTCTCCACTTTTATCATAGAATATTGTTCAGAGTAATGAATGATCTTACTTTTGTGCCGCCGCTGGGGCAGTTGTTTTAGGAGCAGCAGCTGCAACAGCAGCAGCGGTAGTAGTTGGGGTGGTGGTGGTTTCAGTAGCAGCAGCAACTTCAGCAGTAACCGGTGCAGTCGTCGATGCTGCTGAAGCAGCAACAACAGCAGCAGCAGTAGTAGCCGCAGTAGTAGCCGCAGCAGCAGCAGTGGCAGCAGCAGTAGCCGCAGCAGCAGCAGAAGCAGCCGCTGCTGCGGTGACTGCGGCAGCAGCAGCTGTGGCAGCCGCCGTCGTAGCAGCAGACGGTCCATACGCGTACGTTTGGAAGGCCTCTCCGTCGTCGCCTTCCTCTTCTTCTCCGTCCGACTCGAACGTATGGTCCGGGATATCGTATAGTCGGATCATAGGCTTGTTGGGATCCTTCATGATCAAATACTTGCCATCCTTCTGCTTCATACAGATGTCGATGATGCAACGCAGAATACCCCAGGCGTTGTCCATGCTCAGATTGATCTGGTTGGCGAATTCCTGCGGTTTGAACTGTTGCGTTCCGAGGATAACATGTCGCGAGGAGTCACGCACATGGGCACGAGAGACATATCCGAACTTGATCTGATCGGACCCGGCCAGCAGGGCTTGCACGGTCCACTTGGCTAGCTTGCAGGAATTGTTACGCAGCTCGTTGGCCAGTACGGCACCACGTTGGGTGTCTAACTTCTGACGCCACTCGACACCGTTGGCCACCTTCGAGTCCCACTCGTTCAGAGCCTTTATCGTGAGGAACTGCGTATCTCCCTGGGGCGTTAGAAGGACGGCATCGTGTTCGCAACGTGCCACCAACTCGATACCGTTGTTCAAGTCCCACTTCCTGTAACGATAGGCAACGCTGGCAACTTCACCGTCTTCGTCGTCTCCGATGAATGGATTCGGGTCGCCAAACTTGAATTTAAGCTCCTTCTCACCGCTCTTCAGCACTTGCTGACTGAAGTTGTGGTTGATGAAGGTTGCCTCGATGGCCAGATTCCGCGGCGAGTTAAGAGAGTTTCCATCTTCATTCGGAGGTTCGATCGCAGTCTCGTTGACAGTCAGCAAATCAAATTCAGTGTTATCGCGCTTATCCATGAACAGCTTGTCACCAATCTTCTCAATGACAATATCCCACGAATAGTTGGACCTGGAACAGCACATAATCGTAGCCAGGATGGCATCCGTAGCGTAAACGTTTCCGTGCGTTTTCGACAACTGGCGGATGATCGGGTCGTCGGTGGTCGTAACGGTATGGAAGATTCTGTCCACACGCTGCAACGGTTTCTCGTTCTTGACGTTGACACGATCGTAAACCTTGTCGTAGTATTCCAGCGTTCCGCAAGTGGTAATATCCTCACCCTTCTCAACATTCGGAAGCGAAAGTTTGCTCAACCGTGGGAAGTCCATTTCCTCCACGGTGACCCAATCCGGACGCACGGCAACCGATGCATCGCGAATTTTTTGTGGCGGACGAGCGCCCCATTTACGGGTAGTTCCGCGACGCTGATCACGTCCTCTATTAGCATTCTTCGAAAGGTTCGTCATGCCGCCGGCTTGAACTCCACCGCGTCCTCCGCGTCCACGACCGCTGTAGAACAAATTCACAAGTTTCAATCAGTAAATCCAACCGCATTTTACCCCACACTCACCGCTGGTTCCTCATATTGCCACGGAAGCGACCGCGCTGGTGCGGTTGCTTCTGGATCCTGGCACTGTCGACCAGATGGAATGTCGTCTCGTCCTCTTCATGGTAGTACGCATACTGGTTGCCACCTCCGAATTGCGATGCATACTTATCTAAAAAAAGGAAGTATTTACTACCAACCCATTTTACACAAAAATCTTTGAGGTTATACTCCGCGGCTGTAACTTACTGGGATACTTCTTGTCGGTTTGAGCCGTACCGGTCCAGTCGGAAATCTTGCCCATACGGTCGCTCTTGCTGAACGGTTGGTATGGGATGTCCTTAAAAGCATCCGGAAGCTCACAGGGGCCTGAAACGTCACAGAAACCATTTCCATATTATATTCAACGTCACTCACTCCTCTGCTCCCGGCTGGGAGGGATCAACAAGAACAATAAGAAGCCGTGATCGGCTTACAGCGAAACTTACCCCATCCTTCTTCGTTGAACTGAAGCTGCGGGGCTTCGAACACCACCGATTCCGGCGTACAGGCGATGGTCTCACTCATCGTCAGCAGGGTTACGGACTTTAATGCGGATTATATCCGGATTTTGGATGATTTTTGCACTAGCAGATACACAGGAAAAAATTGCCGAACGTGGCTGAGCTGGTGAAAGGGCGATTTGACGGCTGTCAAAGTTGGACTTGGGCTTTTCGTTGCCGTCAAGTTGGCAGCGTGGGATTTGAAGGAATTATTCACGGCCGATGAGACTCCCGCAGGTCGGGTCACTTATATACTCAAATGAAACTCGCGTAGCTTTTCAGAGCAACCGTAACGGTCGTTGTTATTTGCGCGACTATTTTAACAGCGCACAGCGCTCTCATTTTAGTTTAGTCGCTCTTCCCTACACCGGTCGCTACTATCGTGGTTATCAATTTACTCGCCGTAGTCCGTACCGGTAGTGAGCATTTTTACATTTCTACGAATAGCAACCTTTCTGCAGCGCTGCTATCATAGAGGTAACTCTAAGACCACTGGGTCCCGAAGAAAATCATTATTATTTTTGGCTCACTCAGTACCAGAACAACGGTCCCAAGCAGTCCCAAGCTATTTCACTCACCCCTGCATGTTCTGCATGAATCCACACACCCCTGATGTTATCTGTCAAACTTTCATAGCGAATCAAAACAAACATAGTGTAGTAATAGAATTTCAACTAGAATAGGGTACGTTAATCGTTTGCTTGGGACCAATAGGCTACTAAAGTGGTGAGCCAATTTAAAATCGTTAGTTTCGTATTGATTGTTGCTGCTATCGCGCTGCTAAATTTGGTAACGCGCTTCTCACCGAGAAGCCGACTGCTATTTTTTTTAAGAGATGAACTAGCCTCAGGCTAAAAATCTCTATAATAAAGAAAAAAAAAAAAAAAAAAAAAGACTGCTATTTTAGTTACTCGTATGGCAACCCCCGATACGGTAGCTGCGCTATGATGAGGGCTGCTAAAATGAGTTTAGCAGCGTACCGTTACGGTTGCTCTCAAAAGGCGAAATAATCACTCAAAAGATTTTCAAATGTAAATAGATTAAAAGCTACGCTAAATCGCAACACTCCTGACCGACGCATAAGTTTGTATAAAAAGAGAGAATACATACTAAGTATAAAAGCGGTTTATACATAGATAGTATAAACTGCATTTATTCTTCCAATGTAAACCTGGCCTTTATTTGTGATTAGATTTTGCTGTCCCTTTCTTTTGCTTTTTTTGTTTTGTAGCTCAATAAAAAAAACATATATGGAAAAAAATTGTACACAGAAAAAAAAAAGTTGTTGAATATTACATCCAAACTGCTGCAACCAGGTCAATCCATCGGTTGTGTAATATAACGTTGTACGATGGACATCGATTTTGCGAACAAAATTACATCCATTGATGTAATATTGTATCTGCTTTTCGCTATTCCATCATTATTTCATACATCAGCTTGAATTACATTGATCGATATTACATTTTTTTTTGCTGTGTATTTCCTCTAAAGTTGGAGTAGAAACTGCATAAATCAACGTCTGAAAGGTGAATGGCAATGATCCATAGCGGCTGGTAGGGATTCGGGGAACACAATGGCCCTTGTGCACCACCCCAGACAGATGGTACAACTAGTGGTGCAATCCTCCGTGCAGAAGTCCCGTTGATGGAATATTGATGGTGAGACGAAGAATCCGTTTTGGCCGTCTTGCATTCGTACCTCAACTATTGTGACTTTGGGACAAATTTGTGTCAACCCAATCTCCATCCATGCAGTGAGTACAAGCACAAGTCGCTCCCGTTGGGACAATGCTGGTCTTCTCGTGAGCTGCCTCATATTGGTCAGCTTTTGCATCATTCGCGTGAGATAAGTGGCAATCTTCTACTTCTAGCAAATTTCAACGAATGGATTGGAGCCTGTAGAAAAGTGTTAGATGTTATGGATTTTACCTTATCGACAATCAAATATTCATGGTTCTTTCCCGGCGATAAACGGGTCCACTCAGCATTCGACTGGTTTCAGTTTTGCGATAATCAAGATACATCATATAGATCAGCACTTTGGCCTTCAACGGATCGTCGTAGCATAATAAACTGCTATATTTAATAAACAAAATTGAACATTATAATTTGCTCGTAAACGACGCGTTTTGCAGTTAGGCTTGACTGGCAACGTTGACCTCTTCTAGGTGATTAGGCTGCAATCTTCGCATATTTCCGGATTTAAGTCAAAGGAAGTTCAGCCAGTTCCACCTGCAAACCGTGATTAACCTTCACTATGTTGTCACTTCCCAACTTTGCTTGTCGCACCGGAATTCACATCGTGATGGGTCTTGATTCGGAAATTCCTTCGTACAAATCAAATCAACGATACTCATTCACAATAATCAATATCTCAATAAATACTAGAATATTTTTTTTTTGTTTTACCGAACTATTTAGTTGGAGTTAAAATAACGAAAATGACGATAACAGACTTTTAACCTAACGGAATCACGCAAGTTACCAAGTGAACTTGTTATAAACGATTTTCGCTCTGTTATTCGGAGTTAGAAAAATTTTGAAGAGAAATTTTAATCGGAACAATGTATAAACGATGCATAACCATAAAATGTTTAAATTTTAATCTATCATTGTTTAGTAATATTTTTGAGTGTACTTTTGTAAATGATTTCAGTCTAATACCACAGACAGACATACAAATTAGTACCGTTGTACTCCTTTAATCAAGTACCTCAAAACGTACAATTTGTGGTACTAGCTTAAAGCAGTACAACCATAGAGGTAACTCTAAGACTAGTAGGTCCCGAAGAAAATCATTATTATTTTTGGGTCACTCAGTACCAGAACAACGGTCCCAAGCAGTCCCAAGCTATTTCACTCACCCCTGCATGTTCTGCATGAATCCACACACCCCTGATGTTATCTGTCAAACTTTCATAGCGAATCAAAACAAACATAGTGTAGTAATAGAATTTCAACTAGAATAGGGTACGTTAATCGTTTGCTTGGGACCAATAGGCTACTAAAGTGGTGAGCCAATTTAAAATCGTTAGTTTCGTATTGATTGTTGGTACAACGGTAGTACAACAGTGAACTTTGTATGTCTGTACAAGGTATAATTGTTACATCGACAAATCCATCGCAGTAGAAGGCTGGAACGAAATCGCTCAATGCTACGTAGAGATCTGTGGCTTGACTCGCAGTGGAATCCGCCATTTTGCAAAAGTGTAGTGAACAGGAATCACGTTGATTATATTGCGCATATTATTTTCCTTTTATTATTATTTACGTTTGGAAATAAGGAGAAACTAAAATGTAAGATCGATGTTACAAAACAGAACTCATGTAACTAAATTTTGTATTTTCTTAAATATAGCTTTGAAGCAACTCCAACCAAAACTATGCGAGTTTGACTAAAAGCACTCCAGAATTTCCAACAATCTTCAAAGATTTTAAATAAGGACCAGTGGATACTACACGGAAATGCCATCACGAAGGAAGCAGGCAATGGAGACATCGGTTGCACAGGGGTATAGCTGTGCCGGATGCGACAGACCGGACAGTATGGAAGACATGGTTGCATGTGATCGTTGTGAAAAATGGTTTCATTATTCATGTGCATCAGTCAACGTTGCTACGGTGCAAACCGATGACTTTTTTTGCGATGATTGTAAATCAACCGTGGCCACTCGGAATAGTCAGCGAGGTAGCCATACGGGACCTGTTAGCAGCGTAAAGAGTACGGCTTCGTCCACACGGTCTGAAAAGCTTCTTCTAAAGCTTCATCAACTGGAAGAAGCACAAGCATTACGGCTGAAACATGAACAGCAACAACGTTCATTTCGTGAAGCTCGTTTGAAATTATTGAAGGAGGAGGAACAAGAGCAGCTGCTAAGCATCCAGGAAGAAACGGAGTATCTTGCGCAGAAACACCAGCTTGAGCTTGCGCAAATTGATGAGCAAGAGACGGATGGGAGGAGCGGAAGAAGCAGGAGCTATGTTAGTGTACGGAGTAGCCGTAGCAGAGTCGAGGAATGGGTAGTAGAACAAAGTCAGGCTAGCAGTGAAAGGACTGATTTGGAGCATCAGGTAGCTGCAAAGTCTGGAGGATTTGTTGAACAGATGCCTTCCTTGGATTCTGCTCACCCGGTCAATCAACAAAGTACTGCGATCTTGGAATCACGTTATCAGCAAGCCAGTAAACAGGTGCAAAGTCGAGAGCAGCAGCAGTTGCATCTGGGAATTCATTCGTCGAAAAATGTGCCTCAAGTATCCATAGGATTAGACAAATCAACAGTGAGTACCGTTAGTGGTAGTACGAGGTACTCGTCTTTGCCTCCTGCAGGCGATCAACTAGTGCAACAGCGTTTCCACTCGAATATTGATCGTATGCCGAAACTGAGCCTAGCAGATCGAAATAAGGTATCAAGGAACCAGGCAGCCACCTATGTGCAGCTACGGCAGAATGTACCTCGAACAACAATTGGCGCGGATCATCAACCAACGGTGAGTACCGTTAGTGGTAGTACGATGTACTTATCTTTGCCTCCTGCAGGCGAACAGCTAGTGCAACAGCATTTCCATTCGAATCTTGATCGAATGTCGAAATTGAGCCTAGCAGATAGGGATCTGGAACACACACAAGTAGAGCCTCTTACCACTACACGAGCAGTCGGAAGAAACCACTATTTAGCAGGTCCTACCGTTACTAATCCGATGCCATTGGAGCGCATAGACCAGCAGCGAGTTGAGTTGACCCGGGATAAAATTGCTGCTCGCCAAGTTATGCCCAGGGAGTTGCCTGCATTTGATGGCAATCCAGAAGAGTGGCCAATGTTTCTGAGCTGTTACAAGATGACTACCGAAGCATGTGGATATTCTGACGTGGAAAATCTTATGCGATTGCAACGAAGTCTTAAGGGCATCGCTATGGAAGCAGTACGTAGTCGGTTACTGATACCATCGGCGGTACCATCCGTATTGAACACCCTTCAGATGCTGTTTGGCAAACCGGAACTTGTGGTAAATACGCTGTTGAAGAAGGTACGAGAAGTACCAGCACCGAAACCAGAACGCTTGGATATGCTAATTACGTTCGGAATGGCAGTACAAAATCTGTGTGATCATTTGGAAGCAGCGGAGATGTCGTCGCATCTGTGCAATCCAGTG